ACGTATTACGACGAGTTACAAAACGGCGGCAGTCGCGGCGGTGGAATTCCGCGAGTTTTCGTCGGATCGCCCTATCAACGAGGTCACGGTATTGGTAGTTTTCTCGGAGGATTGTTCAGACGTGTACTACCTTATTTAACTAGAGGCGTACGTACTGTGGGGAAAGAAGCTTTACGTGCCGGTGCTAATATAATCGAAGATGTTGAAAACAATATGCCGTTTAAGGTAGCGGCCAAACACCGATTTGAAGAATCGCGCGACAATCTTAAGAGAAAAGCTAAAGAAAAAATAAGTAGTCTAATGAAGGGTTTGGGTTATAAGCCGGATGCTAAAATGCATGTAGCTCAGTTTCCTTTCGGCGGGCTCAACACGCGCATCGCTAAATCCGCGACATTACGTAGACGACGCCAGGCGCGTAAGAAAAGTTCGTCAAAGCGCCAGACGCGAGGGAAAAAAGAACAAATACAAAAACATCGAAAAATAAGAGAAGAAAAAATCGCACAACGGTGAAAAGACTTAAGACATCCGCGAAACGGCGTAAAACTGGTAGAAAGCGCACCGTATCCGACATATTTTCTTAAACGGCATATATTCTAAACACATCTAACAGCGAGAATTACAGCGACGACAAAAAAATTTGCGGTAAATAAGCATGTCTTTTCTTCACACGCATTCGAGCAAGTTTTTAAAGAGCGAACTCGATCTCTTTTTTTTATCGCCCACACAAACTAGTATCGAGAGTTCGCAATGGATTCATTACAAACCCGTGACTTGGCTCTCGGACGATTCTCCGATAGAATTCGTCGTTCCGGGACACGGAGAAGAATATTTAGATCTCACGCACACCATGTTAAGTCTTCGCGTACGCGTAGAAACGCCGGGCAATTCCTCGAGACATACCACGGGCGCAACCGCCGCGGCCATTATAGGCCCCGTAAATCATTTACTTCATTCCATGTTCAATCAGATCGACGTGTATTTCAACCAAAAGCTCGTGTCGCCTCCAAACAACGCTTACGCGTACCGCGCGTAACTCGAGGCGTTGTAAAATTATTCTTCACCCGCAAAAACTTCCCATCTAACCTCCTATCTATGAGACGCGGATACACCCGGTCAAATGGACGAACCAGTGGAATCAAAATCGCCAAATTCCGCTCTCGTGAGACGCGCGCGTTACATTCGCGGCGGGCGAGCGCTAGATCTTGTAGGGCATCTCCATTGTGACGTTTTCAATCAAGACAAATTTTTAATTAACGGTGTAGAAGTACGACTGCGACTCGTCCGTTCGAAAGATTCGTTCTGTCTTATGGACAATAACGGTTCATCGTCGAAAATTCATATACTGGATGCGAGCTTACTCGTGAGAAGGGCGAAAATAAGCGCCGGATTATTACTCGCGCATGCTAGAATGTTGAATAAAGTTACGGCCAAATATCCGCTCACGAGAGTCGAAGTTAAAACATTTACGATTCACAGTGGTGTTGTGGGTGAATCGTTAGATAATGTAATACTCGGTCAACTTCCGAAAAGGATAATAGTCGGCTTTGTTAATAATAAAGCGTTTAATGGTGATAGAAAATTAAATCCGTTTAATTTCAAAAATTACGGAATAAATTTCTTCTCGCTATACGTCGACGGTATGCAAATTCCTAGTAGGCCGTTACAACCGGTTTTCTCGCCGGAGGAACCGCTTTACGTCGAAGCTTATCAAACTCTCTTCGCGGGAACGGACATCCATTTTTTGAACGAAGGAAATTCTATAAGTAGAGACGATTATTCCAAGGATTATACGCTATTCGCTTTTGATCTCACACCCGACCTATCAGCTAATTACGCGGGACATTGGAATCTCGTGAGACATGGTAGTTTACGATTAGAAGTGCGATTCGAGAAGGCTCTCACAGAGACCGTTAATTGTATTATTTACGCCGAATTCGATAATGTAATAGAAATCGATTCGTCTCGTCAAGTCATCGTCGATTTTGCCGGATAGATATTTATCGCTCTCAAGTATTTGACCGTTACAACGTAATACTCGGAAAATTTCCCCTCCTTTTTCTCCCCTCCACATTCGATCAAAATGCTAACAGCATAAAATATCAAAAAATATACAATATAACAGAAAAGAATTCAGTTTCATTCGAGACACGAACGTCGACGCTTCGCGAGCAGTTTAAACTATTATAACCACGCTATCGAGAGCGCTCCAGTCTTCACAAAATGGATATAGTCATCGACATACAAGGTTTCCGCGATGCCAATGCGAAGTTTATCCCCAAAGAAGTCGCTATTATCGCGCTTGACGCTCCATACGTCGGACATTGGATTATGATGCCCCCGCATTCATTTGGCGATTTACCAAGAAATGTAAGACATGAAAATAACTGGCTTACACGAAATTATCACGGCATCGAATGGTTCGACGGTGAAGCTAATCCGAAATATTTTACATCGCAACTACGTGAAATAACAAGACAGGCACGATACATTTACGTTAGAGGTACCGAAAAAGAAACCTACTTGCGGAATCTACTCTCCAGAAATATATATAATTTGGAAGATATTTCTCCCGCATTCAAAAATCTGTCAGAGGGAGAAGTGCGCGGACGTTATTGTGGTTACCACGGATTTCGAAAATTCGGAATCTTTCATTGCGCATTACGCAACGTATATAAATTAAAATATTGGTTGATCGAGCGAAATAATAACGTCTACGGCAATACGAACGTTAGTACTCAAGCTACTTGTGGTTCTCCGGATAAATGGTGTGTAAACACCAGTGACGACGACGACGACGACGACGACGACGACGACGACGACGACGACGACGACGACGACGACGACGACGACGACGACGACGACGACGACGACGACGACGACGACGACGACGACGACGACGACGACGACGACGACGACGACGACGACGACGACGACGACGACGACGACGACGACGACGACGACGACGACGACGACGACGACGACGACGACGACGACGACGACGACGACGACGACGACGACGACGACGACGACGACGACGACGACGACGACGACGACGACGACGACGACGACGACGACGACGACGACGACGACGACGACGACGACGACGACGACGACGACGACGACGACGACGACGACGACGACGACGACGACGACGACGACGACGACGACGACGACGACGACGACGACGACGACGACGACGACGACGACGACGACGACGACGACGACGACGACGACGACGACGACGACGACGACGACGACGACGACGACGACGACGACGACGACGACGACGACGACGACGACGACGACGACGACGACGACGACGACGACGACGACGACGACGACGACGACGACGACGACGACGACGACGACGACGACGACGACGACGACGACGACGACGACGACGACGACGACGACGACGACGACGACGACGACGACGACGACGACGACAATTTTTAATTAACGGTGTAGAAGTACGACTGCGACTCGTCCGTTCGAAAGATTCGTTCTGTCTTATGGACAATAACGGTTCATCGTCGAAAATTCATATACTGGATGCGAGCTTGCTCGTGAGAAGAGCGAAAATAAGTGCCGGATTATTACTCGCGCATGCTAGAATGTTGAGTAAGGTTACGGCCAAATATCCGCTTACGAGAGTCGAAGTTAAAACATTTACGATTCACAGTGGTGTTGTTGGTGAATCGTTAGATAATGTAATACTCGGTCAACTTCCGAAAAGGATAATCGGCTTTGTTAATAATAAAGCGTTTAATGGGGATAGAAAATTAAATCCGTTTAATTTCAAAAATTACGGAATAAATTTCTTCTCGCTATACGTCGACAGTATGCAAATTCCTAGTAGGCCGCTACAACCGGTTTTCTTACCGGAGGAACCGCTTTATGTCGAAGCTTATCAAACGCTCTTCGCGGGAACGGGTATCCATTTTTTGAACGAAGAGAATTCTATAAGTAGAGACGATTATTCCAAGGGATATGTTATTCGCTTTTGATCTCACGCTCGATCTGTCTGCTAATTGCGCAGGGCATTGGAATCTCGTGAGACATGGCAGTTTGCAATTAGAAGTGCGATTTGAGAAGGCCCTCACGGAGACCGTTAATTGTATTATTTACGCCGAATTCGATAATGTAATAGTAATCGACTCGTCTCGTCAAGTCATCGTCATTTTGCCGGCTAGATATTTATCGCGCTCAAGTATTTGACCGTTACAACGTAATACTCGGAAAATTTTTCTCATTTTTCTCCCCCCCACATTCGATCAAAATGTCAACAGCATAAAATATCAAAAAATGTGAAATGTAACAAAAAAGGATTCAGTTTCATTCAAGACACGAACGTCGACGCTTCGCGAACAGTTTAAACCTATCGAGTCTTCACAATATGGATATAGTCATCGACATACAAGATTTCCGCGATGCCAATGAAAAGTTTATCCCTAAGGAAGTTGCTGTTATCGCGCTTGACGCTCCATTCGTCGGACATTGGATTATGATGTCGCCGCATTCATTTGGTGATTTACCAAGAAAAGTAAGACATGAAAACAATTGGCTCACGCGAAATTATCACGGCATCAAATGGTTCGACGGTGAAGCTAATCCGAAATATTTTATAACGCACCTACGTGAAATAACAAGACAGGCACGTCGCATTTACGTCAGAGGTACTGAAAAACCAAACTACTTGCAAAATCTACTCTCCAGAAATATATAGAATTTGGAAGATATTTCCCCCGCATTCAAAAATCTGTCGGAGGGAGAAGCGTGCGGACGATATTGCGGTTACCACGGATTTCGAAAATTCGGAATCTTTCATTGCGTATTACGCAACGCATATAAATTAAAATATTGGTTGATCAAGCAAAATAATATCGCCTACGGTAATACGAACAATAGTACTCAAGCTACTTGTGGTTCTCCGGATAATTGGAATATAAACGACGGTGACGACGACGACGAGGACGACGAAAACGAAGACAACGAAAAGGAGGAAATCAGTAGCGCGGATGGGATTTCTCGCGATAGAAATGCAATAGAGAAAAAAAATCTGCAAAAATCAGAGCAAGCATTAGTAAAAGAAGAAGAGAAATTTAAAAAATCTGAATTATCGGCGTTGATGGATAGTGCCAAGTTCGAAGCAACTACTAACTCCACACAAGCCGCCATTGAAAACTCAACGTTACAAGGCGACTCGGACAAAGACGCACTTCCGAAGGAGGTAAAAACCGAAATTATTGAATATATAATACCGCTTGTTCGTTTATCTCCGTGCCAAAATAATGAACTCTCGCGAAATTCTATAAGCATTACGCCGCATCAATGCCAGACAGCGGGAGCTTATCCGGCCGACAGAGTCCCGAGGGTGTAGACGAGGTCGACAGCCATCATCGCTAATACGGATGACCACAATCGACCTGGAGAACATTGGGTCGCCTTCTTCCTTGACCAGCATGATACAGCCACATACTTCGACAGCTACGCAATACCAACCTTGCACCCCGGATTTCTCCTCCGACTTCGTCGAAACTCCATTATCCATCGGTGGAATATTCAACAATTACAAGGAATTTTTTCTCAAACATGCGGACAATATAGTTGCGTATTTTTATATTATATGTGCAACGGTTACGATCTTAATCGGTTTCTTAGTCTTTTTAAATGGGCGCTCAGCGCCTCCGCATTTGCCCGACCGGTGTTCGTCGGGCGGCGGACTTCCGGCGGATCGGCGGCCGGGTACGGTCTAGTAACGATGGGGGAATGCATCGTTACACACTTATTTCGTAAAATTTTTCTTCGCGAAAAAAGAAACAAGTGAAACGTTGTACGCTATGTGATATCTTGTTTAATAGTGTAATTCGGATTGTAATATGATACAGAAAATGAAGGATGTACTCCTATATAATATTTTAATTATATGTAATAAGAATATTGATTTATGAAAAATTAATATCAATAAACGTGGCATCTTTTTACGTAAATTGTTAAATTTTTTTCATCTACTCCCCTCTTTCCTTTTACAGTATAATGTTCCAAACGTTCAAACTTGTTAAGGGGATCCAAAAGTAACGGCCGAACTCCGACGGGTTAGCGCCCTCATCCAAGCGTAACTAAAATTATTGATAATACCGACCGAAATTATCGATAATATCAATAATTTTAGTTCCGCTGTTACCGATATGAATATTTTTGCATGTTCTATGCATATTTGAAAGAGAATTGTGTTCAATATGTTGAAATCGGACAACATCGTGTATTTCTACTGCTCTATTGCCTCGCACGCATATCTAAGCGTATTTAA